GGCCGAGCGCGGGGCAGTGACGGCACGACACTCGCAGGGGCGTGCTGCACTCGCGCCCCGCGCCGCCGACCACTGTTACATCCTATTGTAAATTCTTTTACACTCTACAAAATAAGCATTGATTACTGCCTAACAGACGTCCCTTCTATGCCATATAGATCAATTTACAGGTTTATGTTTAACAAAAGTGGAGATCGCTGCAGCATTTAGCTACTCCACGAATGGTTTGCTTACTCGGGGCCAAATACCAAAGCCACAGTAAAGACAGGTGTCAGGTGGAAGAACTCGTATTTTTGCGTTCAGTTCAGTTTGTGTGCCGGAGAACATATGTGTCCTGTTCCCTCTCCCACCATTTTCTAATTAGGATAGGATAAGAAGGGGCGATAGAGTTCTGCCTTACGTCAGCGGTGCTCGTATAACATGAGAAAATTCTTTTTTTTTATTTTCCGGGACATCTTTTATGCAAGTTCTTAGTCCTTCACATAAATATAAATAGTGGCTACAAATAGTGTGGTGTCCGCCAGAGTAAAATTGCCCGTGTGGTTTGGTTTCAGACAAAGTAGTATCAATGGTTTGGCATTCGGTACTTGCAATTGTATTAAAACAAATTTTATAACTTTTTAAATAAATCTTTAAAATCTTTAAATCTTTGCGTGCCGGAGGCCTAACCATGCTCGTTTGTCACCTCATAGTATAAAAAATATTGTGAAATTGGCAAGATAAATTCGGGGCCTTGTAACATAAAACCGTGGCCAAACGTAAAATTTCAATAAGATTGATATCAATTTGCACTAACTATTTGGTCTGGAAATCAATAACTTATCGTTTTAACATGAGATTGAAGGCAATGGCATGCACTAGCAAAGTGTAACCACCCTAGCATAAAAACTTGACTGATTACCAAAGTGGAAAATAATATTGCCTTTCACAACTAGTTACCAAACAGCGAAAAAAGCTAATTATGGTTAGGAAACAGGAACAAGCCATTTCTACGGCAACGCCCCCTTCTTTATCTGGTTGGGGGGTATAAAATAGGTAATATAAAATTGCATGTATCGAAGACTTGTGACACATCTTTCTGTCCAGAACTCTGGGCAGAATGTATAGTAGGGCCCAACCGCATTAATATTGGCCTTGCTATTGGCCATTTTATGGCGATAGCAATGTCGGATTTACCATAATGTATTGCACTCTATAAATCAAGCCATTTCATTTGATACCCATGTTAGAAGATTGTATAAATATATGTCGCCCGCCATTTCGTTGCGGGCGCCATCTTGATCTTTTCAAAATTGCATTATCACATTGAAAAATTATCTTCGGTAATGGTAAAAGTTACTATACTGTAGTCAGAGTCAGAGCAACATGTCTGGTTCCTTCGGGCATGAACCTACATACATTACCTATATACGATGTAAGACGATGTGACGATGTAAGACTGACAGCTACATGTCAACAATTTTAGTTGAGTTACCCATGGCTAAAGTCTAATAAATATAGGTAGTAAGTAAGTAAATAGACGATAACAAGTAATGTACAGGCTATAAATCTAGTGCGGTTGGTCGGGTGAGGATTTTTCATCTATACATTCTTAACGGACGGATCAACGGCTTTGTGGAGGTAGAGGACCTCAATAGCTATCATTTAAACGCAAAGTTTGTAGCCCGATTTTCTACAGTTTTAGAAATCTTTATTTTTCTGTAAATAAAATAGGAAAAATTAAATTTCCGACTTAAATTTGACCGTACTTCCAAAATAATGTGTTTACAGTGGTCTTTTTTTCTTTAATAAGCCTAATAATTATGTTTTTGTACCGTTATCCCTTTTTTGGAATAACTCTGGACTGGAATAACAAGATTCTGGACAATTTTCTTAAAACAAAATTTCTTTCTTCAACTTCGAGAAGCTGTAACTAAATTTTTTTACACCAACTTTTTTCATCAGCTGATAAGCTGATAACTAATATAATACCTAACTAATAATATACCTGTATATTATTTACATAGTTATCAGTTTTCGCCCGCGACGAAAGTGCGTGCGACGAAGTAGCGTAAAAACTAAAGTGAGTAGCCTAGTATGTGTTCTTTCAAACTATCCTTTAAGTCTATGCGAAATTTCATCGAGATCCGTTCAGCGATTTAGACTACAAACTCTAACAAACATCCGTCCATCCATCTAAACTATCGCATATGCATATATAATTTTAAGTAAGATATATCTATGGGTAGAGACACATGCCATATAAGAATGTTGCTATTATTGTTTGCTGCAGGCTATTAAAATGTATGATTCCTAATGGGCCGGCTCGCCCAGTGCAATAACACGACCACACAGAATATAGGCGTGAAGTGGAAGCAGTCCCGAATTTCGTCTGATGAGTGTGGTGCAGGACACCAAATTATGATAAAGTGCAATTGCGGATGTCTAAGGGCAGCAGTCAATTCGCCATTTTGGCGTATTCAGGTGGCCGCTTGCTCGTTTGCTACTTTATATTGTGAAAAAAAAAACGTGGGAAAAGCATCATACCACAAGTATAGCCTTAGAAATATTAAAACAATCGTCATGTTGCGGAAAACGATTAATCTTTACGTCATTTCTTTATGTGACAGAAACCGATTGAAATCCCTAGCGCCAAAAACGAATATGTAGTATTACTATTTTAATGTTTTTTTTTTTAACTTTATTATTTTAGCGTAGTAAAATAGTGCTCATTTTAATAAGAATCATATTTTTATTCTTAAAAATGTTTTTATTTGAAGTTTATTTGTAAGCTTAAAAAAGTTATAGAGATCTGTGAAAACGGAATATGTTTTCTTATAACGTCTGTGGTGTGCAGAAACAGAAACTTCGTTTTGAGTTTTCCTATCATTAACCGCTGTGTTTGATATTTGGTTTTTACAATAATTTCTATCAATTTCGTAACCAATGTAATGCCCTACATAGTTTAATTTATATGTAACGAGTTGCTTTAAAACGCTTTAATTGTATTTCAGTGGTGAGTTTTTAGTTTTTTTTTTTTGTAATTTGATTCCTAATATTACAGGTGGTACTCCACGAAACATTCAAGTCAACAAGTTCGTTAAACAACCGAGCCGAGTATGTTAACATTAAATGTGTCGATCACATTAAATGAAAGCGGTCTGCATCCTAGCTCTTGTTTTCTAAGTCTGCCACATTGATTTTTCATTTCAGGTTATTATCGCTATCGACCTGTCAAGGAGACATTTTTCTTCAAACTGTTTCCACAATTTTGCAAAATAGGAGACGAAAATCCTTTTAAGTTTTCCAATTTTATATCGAATCTACCACCAATTGTGAGTACCTCTTGTTTTCCTTTTTAATTATTATATTTGAATGCTTTATTCTTGATTAAAGTTAAAATGATTAGTAATCATTGTAGATATGTTTAAAAATATTGTGTTTGATCAGCATTGCCTCCAGCATGTAAGTTAGGCCATAGTAAGGTCTAAGCTTGGCTCTGACTTTGACTTGGTAACACTGCATACACATACAAATGTTTAACTAACACTGTTATTATTAACTAATGTGCTGTCAATGTTTTAAAAAATCTGATTATTGCATTAGCATGGATAATGTTCCATTGAAGATCTCGACAAGCAGTGGAAATGTTGCAAATGTATACTGTTTACTGCCAGGATTATTCTACATATATAAAATTTAGTGTCTGAATCTACTATTGCAAAAAAACTCATATTTCATATACATGATGTATTTATGGAAACATTCAGAACAGAGTAAAGTGGTGGAATCTTAAGGAAAGCCAACCCCACTATCGGCATAGAAGTTAGAATGAGTGAGAGTGTGAAATGTATTTGCTTTGGCTATTTTTAAATTACCTGTCTATCCGAGTAATCTCTGGAACAGCTGGAGTGATTTTAACAGGATTTTGATAGGAAGGTAGGTGATGGGTTCAGGAAAGTCACTGACCGCTGCCCATAAACATCCGCAATTGCAGATGTGTTGCCTACCCTAATTGACGGAGGAGGAGACGCACATAAAGAGGACATTTCCCCTTCCTATGCATCTTCTCCACCATCACATCCACTTTTCCCTCCTATCCTTTCCCCTTAAGAAAAAGGTGGAAAGGAAAAGGGACTAAAATTAGGCCTCCGGCACCACACTCATCAGACGAAACGCGGAATTGCTTCCACTTCACGCCTGTCTTCTGTGTGGTCGTGGTATTACACCGGGCGAGCCGGCCCATTTGTGCGAAAATGTTAAAGCTGGCTCTACCACTGTTAAAATTATCTGAATGTATTAACATTTAATGTGATATTTCAATAACAGCTTTTCAACCAACTACATATGAATGGAGTAATTATTTCAGTGATATTAAAAGTTTCTTTTTCACTTTGTATAAAGGAATGTTGCATACAAGCATAGTGGAATACTGTAACAGCTTAAATAACAAGGCCACTTTTACACTCCACATTCCATTCAAACTAGCTGTTGCCCGCGACTTTGTCCATGCAATATTAAAAAAAGGTAGCCTATAATATGCTTGTCATGTCAGCTACCCTTCAGTAAAAGTCCTGTCAAAATCGGTCCAGCCGTTTTGGGGATTATCTGGAACAAATGTGGTTTGCAGACAGACAGACTTAAATGCTTCTACTTCTAACATACTTTTCAATATATGTGGCAAAGGTGATTGCGCTGAACACATAGTAGATAGAATAGATGGGAAGGGTGAGTGAATGTATTTGGCGGTGGCAGGGTGGTGGGGCGATGCCGCGCTGCAGCAAGCGGTCGCGCAGCGCCGCGCCCGGCGACCTGCTGCCCGCCGCCACCGCGCTCGACGACCACCACCGCCACAAGCGCTCGCGCAACACCAGGTTCCTATCTTCTAACTCAAACTATACATCATTTTTATCAATCATTCATCTTCTTGCTTTTGGAAAAGGTTTTAAATAACCTAAAGAGCAATTCTTCCAAATTATATATTTGTAAATATACATTGTTCTGTATGTTGAATAGTAATATTGTATTTTGAGTTATAAAATCGAGGTACATATTTTTTTCATAATTTCAGTTCAAGAAGACATTCCAAAGTGGAAGACTCCAGCTTTAGTGTAAAGAAATGTTTAGCATGGTTCAAAGAGTACACAACGGTGACGGAGCCCGATGTGTTAGGTAAGCATGTAGACCTCCCTTTGCCCACATGTTGCACTAAGTTGTGTTCGGCTTATAGCTTTATTTTATATCTGCAACACTAAGGGCCAATCCTACCAAATTGTAAATTGTGTAATAACACACCAATGTGTAAAATTTGTAATGGAAATATTGGATTTTGTTTCCTTATCTGACAGTGGCGTATTTTAAGCTATCCGAGCCTCTATCAGCCAGTGGTGGGACAGGCCCTAAGGATAATCATTTCAAAAATATCAAGAATATAAAAGCAAACTTTGATCACTGAGTAATAGTTGTGTGTGCACAGGGCCCGAAGGCATGGAGAAGTTCTGCGAGGACCTCGGCGTGGAGCCGGAGAACGTCGTCATGCTGGTCATCGCGTACAAGATGGCAGCCAAACAAATGGGCTACTTCACACAAGAGGAGTGGTTAAAGGGTAAAGTCTGCCTCAGATTTATGACCGACATCCATTAATTTCTGCCGATACGAGTAGAGCTACCGGCCGGTGCAGCGCAGTGCGGCGCGGTGCGGCGCAGTGCGGCGCAGTGCGGCGCAGTGCAGCGCAGTGCGGCGCGGTGCAGAGCAGTGCGGCGCAGTGCAGCGCAGTGCTTGTGTTGCAGGTCTGACGGAGCTGCAGTGCGACTCCGTGCACAAGCTGCAGACCAAATTGGATCACCTGCGGAACACTCTCAACGACCCCTGCATATTTAAGGCTATATATAGATACTCGTACGACTTTGCCCGAGTGAGTAAATTTTCCATTTTTATCTGTGAAAATTTTATTTTATCGTTTACATGTGTCAAATTATAAATAATATGATGATAATAATATGATACGACCTAAGCGATCTTGCTTTTTTGCTGTTGGCAGCAACTTATGGTCTCTTTCCCACATTAGGGTTTTTATCGAAAATGTTTACCCCCTAAGTTTAATGGCGTGAAAATATATAGCCTAAAGCGTGACGTAAGTGTACGGCTTTTTATTAAAAAAAAAGAATTATTCAAAAATATGCTGCAATTGCTGACATCTTAGGCAACAAAAGAAGTGCGTGTTTACGCTTAATTATATTAGTATAGAAGATAGTGTTATACCGTGATCGCTCGTGGCTCGAAGTAGCCCTTGTAGAATCTCTTATATGTCGCAGCGGCTCCGACCATCTTAAGAGTCGTCGTGCACATATTTTCATGAGCGGGGCGGGCGCGGGCGCGGGCGCGTGCGCGGGCAGGGCGAGGGGAGAGCGAGCGCCGCGCAGCGCATAGCTCGCCCATGAATCGACCGAGCCGATGGGATCCGATAGATAGGTGATCGGTGTGCGCAGGACAAGGAGCAGCGGTCGCTGGAGACGGGCACGGCGCGCGCGCTGCTGGGCGTGCTGCTGCCGCGCTGGCCGCTGCGCGCGCCGCTCGCCGCCTTCCTGCAGCGCGAGCCGCGCTACCGCGTGCTCAACCGCGACCAGTGGTGCAACATCCTCGAGTTCAGCCGCACCGTCGGCCTCGACCTCGCCGCCTACGACCCCGACGGCGCCTGGCCCGTGCTGCTCGACGAGTTCGTCGACTGGCTGCGGGCGGAGCGCGCCGCCGCCTCGCCCAGGGCGCCCCCCGCGCCGCACGCCCCGCCCGGCGCGCCCCCCGCCCCGCCCGCGCCGCCCGCGCCGCCCGCCAGCTGAGACCGTGCCCCCAGAGGTGTGGACGTCGGCTAATATGAAAATATGAATTCTTCTAACATGTTCATTTTGTTTTACATGTAACGTAGTTGTTCCAGCCGGCAGTAGCCCTCCCCCCGCCCGCCCGCCGCGCCCTCGCCTCCGACGCGCAACCATTTCATCTGAACATAAAGCTACGGAGCAGCGCGCGCCGCACGCACGCGCTGTCTCAGCCAACTAACGCGCTAAAACTCTCCGAAGTGCGGCTGCAGCGCGCTCCTCCTTTATTAAATTTGTACCCATATTTATCTGACATTCTATCATGAACTTGCGTGGCATTTGTGATTAAGTGTTCGTAACATTGTCAACATTTGTATATTTGTTGGTATACAATATGGCCGGTAGTGCGCGGTACAAATCTAATGCAAATTTTATCGATGACGTTACGTATTCGTTCTCACAAATATTCAAGATGAGCCCGCAGTTTCGACTACACTTATTATGGGACTAGAGAAAGATTGATTATTACACCAGCGAAAAAATAATAGTGTTGCAAGTAAAAAGTGTGCGGAGTGTCGACATAGCGTCCTGTCTGCCGCTAGCTAATGGCTTATTTGGAGTTATTGTAAAAAATGTTAGCAAATAACTTCAAGTCGTTTACTAACATTTTACTTTGTAAGAAGCAACGGGCGGGGGCGGGGGCGGGGGCGGCACGCGTGTCCCCGCTCCGCCCCCGCCCCGCCCTCCACTGCGGTGGGCGCGACATAACTATACAAACTTTAGGTTTAGGCCAATGTATCAAAAAACCTGAATAAATATTACGAAAATTGTAATATCGTTTTAGTTTAGATGGATGGATGGATGGTTGTTAGCGTGTGTAGCCTAAATGGCTGAACTCCATGAAATTAAGCACAGGTTTAGAACATAGTCTGGAAGCACACATAGGCTACTTTTTATTCCGGGAATAGTTACGGTACCCGTGGGATTCATTAATTTAGTTTTTAATGTTTACTCAATCATTCTGCAACGGTTCTACATATCTTAATGAAATTTGTCACAGATATAAAACAAAGTCTGGAGTACACATGGGATAACCTTCATCCCCGAGAAATGTCCGGTTCCCGAGGGATACGTAGCTTTTTGTAATTAATATAGTCCGTATGTTTTCTAATACCACACGGACGAAGTCGCGGGCAACAGCTCGTATATATAAATATGTCGGCTTGAGCTAGCACGATATCAGAATTACTACCACTCGAGATCACATGTGGGCGGCCATGGGTTAAGTCGGATCCCGGGAACACATTCACGCGCCGCATTGGCAAAGCGCACACCGCTCAATATTACGTGAATTTATAAAGGGCATTCATATTCTATTTTGATAAAGGCTTCCGATCTTGCGGTTGAGGGTTCAAATACTGCCATTCGACCATTGTTGTGAACCATATTCTAGCACAAGCCTAGGGCTCAGTTACCATGGTTGAAGGAAATTAACAAAAATCGACTAATATTTTTAAAAAAAAAGAAAGAAAAGACAACAGATTTTATCGCAAATCTTAAATTTAAACGTATTATTCTCTAAAGGATCTCATGCTCCGCTCCGTATGTCACAGAGAAGATCCAACTGTTTGCGGAGCAAAGTTTAATTTGGAGGCGGGGAGCCGCGGCTACTTGCAGTAGCGGTCCGCCTTCATGCGCGCGCGCCGCTCCAGCAGCGCGCCGTGCAGCTCGCCGCGCGCGCGCGCCGCCGCCAGCGCCGCCGCGCCGCCCGCCGCCACCAGCACCTTCTTGTCTTGGAACTTTTGAAATTTCTTTCTGTAAAGAGAGCAGAGCGAACGATATTCCAACTTCTCAATCCAATCTTTGACCACGCAATAAATGTAGAGAGTGAGTACTTACACGTAATTGAGTTCGAGCGCGGCGAGGTCGCCCGCGTCTTCCGCGCAGTCGGCGGGGGCGCCGGGGGCGGCGGCGGAGGGGGCCGGGGGGCGCGCGCGCGACGAACGCACGGCGCAGTGTGCGCGCTCGTCGGCGCCGGCCAGCCGCGCCACCAGCGCGTCGTCCGCCTCCTCCACAGACACGAACTTGTTGAGCGCGCTCAGGATGGCCGCGCGCCCTGCACACACGCACACACAAACACACTCGCGACCGTTGCTATCCTCTCTGCGACTCGCTATAGTTTGTCTAAATAACGTTGATGACAACTCAGTGGGGATGGGTTGTGTAAAATCAGATATTAATCTTTTCGATGTTAGATTTTACTCTCATAGCAGTTGGAGTTGATAGATTCATAGTTATAACTTATGTATTAAGTAAAAAACACTGTTTTCTCAAATCAATAATGACCTACAGAACAAAAAGAAAAGATGAGAGTTAATAAACATTTATTGCTACTACAGTTGTACATAATCGATTAGGATAATTGTGACCTAAATCTGTTAATAATTAAGTAATAATTTAAGTTAAGTTCGTTTAATATTATTTAAACCGAATATCAATAGTTCATAATTGTTCGCTAGGCGTCTTTGTTTTCTCACTACAATATCCGTCTATTAAGTATAGTATTTGCCTTCAGATTTATTCAAATTTAATTCGAAATTACACATATGTCATTTAACAAACTAGTCAATTTATTTTTGGCCAATCAACAAGTTACTTGAGGAACCTGAATTACTGATGGACCACTCAATCATTCAGATGCTGGCCTTTTACCACATTAGCTTCACTTCACACCCATACATCACACTCTGTAATCAATATGGTATTGATAGGTAATTTATTTATTTTTCAAGAAAGACTGAGCTATTTATTACAAGTTGTCCATTGTCTGCATGGCACAGGACATAGAAGATGTGATGTTACATAATTATTTTGAGATTCGTAGTAACATTTACAATAGTAAAGGCCTGTCCCACCAAATTGTCTAATAACAATCCATGTAAAAATTTGGTGGATGTATCAGGTATTGTTACCTTTTCTGACAGTGACATTATTTTTAAGCTATCTGAGCCTCTATCAGCCAGTGGTGGTACGCCTGTAAGTAAATGTTTTTATTTCTCATCACATCTCACCATCTTGGAAAACGGGCTCCCACTGCTCCATGGGGCCAACAGCATCCGATCTGCCAACCACGGTACCATCCTTGGTGACCCCAAGGTATTTGCCGTAGCCCGATTTGAGGGCAAACTTATTGTCTCCAGCGGGGAATGCTGTAAATATCTCTTCCGGAGATGGCCCATCTCCATCATCGTGCGGTGCCCCTATTGTGAATAAACCTGCAAGTGCAATTTTATTTTATTCAAAGGATCAAAAGTCAACCAATGACAAACAGAAAGGATGGAGCAATTTGTTTGCTGGTGCTTACTCAAAGCAAGCACATAACTTAAGCAATAGCAGACTTAGCAGATATCAAATAAAACACCAAACCATTATCTAGAGCAGAGACATAGGTGTTTCTGCCAAACTCAATGGCTATTGAGCCAGTGATCTCCTCAGCTGCTGTCACTCTCCACCAGCCGCCATGCCTCATACAGTCCTCGTCCACCTTGGCTACATCCTCTTTGTCACCTTTCTTGTGCTTGCGCTTTTTTGCTCTGGGGTACAATCACATGGAAACTTAAATAAATGACACTTAAATGATTTTTGGAAAGCAATTTTAAATATTTAGAACACTTAATATGTACTGCAAATTTCAAGATTCTAGGTGGATTTTATAACTGCATACAATGAAGGTTGTCCAAAATTCAGAAAACCATATTTCGAAGTTGTTAGATATCCTATTATTTTTAATGTTTTATACGTCTACTAAATTGCTTGAGATCATATATGGCATACTTAGGTTTTTCTCCCTTCAAAACCAACTTCCTTTTTTTAACAGCTGCATACTCATCAGTCATCGTTTATCTCAAACGACTAAAACTGAAGTTTTATGATTATAAGAGAAACATTTAACAAAACTAAATAATACAGAATGCAACTTTTGGCCACAGAACAGAACACACTTGATATACTCTTCTTCGAGCCAAAGCCAAATATTGGCACAGTACGTTACAAAGTACTCTGTGGTGTATTGGCACAATTTTGAACATTGACATTGACAAGAAGATATCTGCTAATTTTATAAGTTACCAGTAAACAAAAAATTGCTAACTTTTCCGAAATTCCTCCATGTTAAATACAAAATATCAACTGTAAGCAAATGATTTCAAATCATATACAGACTGTCCGGGAAAGAAGTGTACAATGGAATCTGTGGCATCCTTGGTCGAAAATATGATGATTTGACCCAATTTATCTCTATCCAAAGTTGCTTCGTTTGAGTTCTAGAGAACTCTAAGGTTTGCTAATTATTTTGCAAATATCTCGAGTAGTCTTTATCAGATTTTATTCATATTGAATCCATAGACTTATTTGTAAAACTATGGATCTTCTTTTTGTGAACTTCTTTTTATGCAACATCTTTTTGTGGAAAAGACCTTGGTCATAATATCATCAAGCGGCTGGAAAACTCAAACATCATTCATAACTTTAATCATATTTTTAACCGCCTGTACAATCGCTGTCAAGTTATTTTCTCAGATATACGGTATAATTTAAGAGAATTTAACTGAGAAAAACTAAGAAAAACGGCGATAGCAGCGCCCTCTAGGTCAATTAAACTTGTAAGACTTGCAAACTCTAAAAAATATTGTATACTCTTTGGCTTACACACGCACGCCATTTTGCAATACTGAACCTGAACATGTTGACTACTATATAACGAAAAATGCTTTTAATTAATACTCGATGTAGTTTGTTTATTAGTTTAATTTAGTTAATTAGTGGTAATTGTAAACTAAAGATACCGAAATGGATATGCCAGAAGTAAAAGCGTTCAACGCAGAGGTAGTATCTGTTAAGTTTTGATTGTGGAGTGCATTTCCCGTGGCATCATTTAAATGAATTGTTTCATTTGCAGTTATCTGGGTTGTACGAAAACAAGCCACCTATATCAAAAGCTAAGATGAGCGCTATCACCAAAGGTGCTATTAAGGCGATTAAATTTTACAAGCATGTTGTGCACAGTGTCGAAAAATTTATCCAGAAGTGTAAAGCGGAATATAAAGTTCCCGGTTTGTATGTGATAGATTCAATCGTGCGCCAGTCGAGGCACCAATTTGGACAAGATAAGGATGTATTTGCTCCTCGATTTGCGAAAAACATGCAGCAAACATTTGCCAACCTTTTCAGATGTCCCCCAGAAGATAAGGTTAGATGTTAACTGTTTATAAAGACTTAATTTATAGTATACCTTGTCTTACGTAGTTGTCATGTCCACAATACTACTTGCATTACCTTTGAAGTACATGTATAATTGTTACATATTGCTATTCTCAATAATATACTAATACTGCACTGAAATTTCTCCCAAAAATACCTATAAAGTTGATACATTCATTTTTTTCTTTGCTTACTTAGTATAAATGGTTGAGAAAGGTATAAAAAGACAAAGGCAAAATATGTTATTATGCTTTTTAAATATCTTGGCAACCAAGGCCTTCAATGCCTCTATGCCACTTTACACCTAAGATTATGTTCTGCACAGCTAATTGCAGCTGAAGTTTACAGCTGCCAAGATGTTAACTTGTAATAATAAGTGTAATGAGTGAAAAGTGCAGACACACAATTGTGCATATAATATTCTGATACAAAATGTTAATTTCAGCGCAACATAATCCGTGTGTTAAACCTCTGGCAGAAGAATAATGTGTTTGGTCCTGATGTCATTCAACCTCTGATGGACATGGCCGACCCCAACCACCCCCTGCACCAGGAGATACTGCAGCAACAGAACAATGCTGCAAATGGTATGCCCACTACTTTAGTGTTTAGGGACTATTCAAAATTTGCGTGCCTTTGTTTGTAGGAGGGGTTAAAATAAATGAATTACCAATCATGAGGTTATATGATGGTTATGTAAAAAATGGACATCCCATCGGAGCATCATATCACAACTTGAAAATCTTAGTCACAGCACAGATTGAGCACTACACTATGTAATCAAGTCGAGATGTTACTCATATTTAATATATTATTCTTTTATTAAGAAAATTGTCCTAGTGATATTTAATATTTGGAAAAGAGTTACTCACTCCAATTGTCCTCTCTGAACCGCAGACATCTAATCAGTTCTCTGCAAGTCCAAGTTTTCAGCTAACTAATGTTAATAAATGTTTCAGGGAGCATTTTAAATTCAAGCCACAACACGACGGGCGCGGGAGAGGGCAAGCTGTCCCCCGCCGCGCAGCGCTCACCGCGCGCCGCCTCGCCGCCGCACCCCCCGCACCCGCCGCACCCCCCGCCCGACCAGGTACCCCCCGCGGCCGCGCACTCCGCCCCGCGGCGTGCGGCGGACGCTGTAGTGGCGCACTTGCAGGAGCAGTCGGCGCCGGCAGTCAAGTTCAATCGCAAGCTGCTGAACGACTTCGAGTACGAGAGCGAGGACGAGGCGGCGGGCGCGGAGCCGCACCCCGCGCACGCGCCGCACGCCGCGCACGCCGCGCACGCCGCGCACGCCGCGCACGGCGCACACGGCGCACACGGCGCACACAACCCCGCAGACGCGCTCGGCAGGTGCGGCCGACTATGTCGTCACACATTACATGTCATTTGTTGGAAGGCATTTATGAGTGATCATTGTATGTTGAATGGTTTGCAGCATCCTGACCAACCCCGAGATCATGCGCCAGCTGCAGAGCCTGCAGGCGCAGATGCAGATGATGACCGGCATGCAGGCGCCTGTGAGTGTGTGTCCACTCTCACTCGCATACCGCACGGGCCCCTTGTCGAAATTTTTAATGCTACTTTTCAAATATGCTTTAATCTTTGCTCGATTTAACAGTGGTAGTGCCCGCTTTAACATCTTAGCACTGCAGGGCCGGCACGCCCCCATTAATACCACGACCACGCAGAAGACAGGCGTGAAATAGGAGAAATTCCGTGTTTCGTCTGATGAGTGTTGTGCCGGAGGCCTAATTTAAGTCCCTTTCTCTTTACCACCCTTTTCTTATAAGAAGAGGTTGGGAGGAGGAAGTGGATTTGACGGTGGAGGAAATGCTAGGAAGGGGAAATATCCTCTTTATGTGCGTCTCCTCCTCCGTCGTATAAGGGTAGGCAACGGATCATGTCTATGGGCAGCGGTCGCTTCGCCATTTTGGCGGTTTCAGGTGGTCGCTTGCTCGTTTGCCACCTTATGTTATATAAAAAAAAATCTTTGATTGATTCAAACAATATATCTTAACGTTAGAAATTCATATGAAAAGCCTAACTTCACAGATTTTTTTTTACATTGATTACAAGAAGTAGGCACTGACCATTGTTTTCCCTCAGAAGGTCGTATTGAAGATGAATGTCGTGTGTGTTTGTATTTGCAGGCGGCGGC